ATTGTTTTTTTAAGTCAGTATATTTGTAGTTAGAGGAGAAGGTTGGTCAAATGTTCTATTTTAAAGTTTGTGTCAGACAATTCTGAAATCCTGAAGTTTTTCCACAAACACATTTAGAGAGACCAATCAACCAAACAGTCATGTTTTTGGACTGCGGGAGGAAGCCGGAGTACTTGGAGAGAACCATGAAGAACCATAAAGTCCATGCAGAAAGACCTCAGGCCTGGAATCAAACACAGGACGTTCTTGCTGCAAGGCAACAGTGCTACCAACTGCACCACTGTGCAGCCCATGTCAGCGATTTATTGATTAAAAAGACATAACTTTAGTGTATGTAAACTTTTGGTTTAAACTGTAACTGGTGGATCAGGTGTTTAACTGATAAATTCCAGAGCGAGATATAAGTCCACATCCTTTTCTGATCTAACTACCTAAAATGTGTCTCAACATAGTGACTTTCTGTGTTTATAAAATGTTATGTTCAGAAAAAAGTTGTTTATTTCATAAGTGACTTTTTTTTGCTCTGTCAGCGTCTCCAAAAGATGCAGCTCTGTTTACTCTCTAAATATCTCAGTTACAGTGACAAGCTCCAGAAAGTATTGCACCTCCTTGCCCCCAATTGTGACATCAAGTTTCTCGTCTCTGAGGACGGCAGTGGGAAAGGTGCTGCCATGGTTACCGCTGTGGCTCAGCGGCTAGCTCTCCAATCACGGCTGTTGGAGGAGAGCGATGGTGAGGAAGATGAAGAGGAAAAAATGGGAAGCTAACAGAGCACAATTTAAGACATTTTCATTAACACATTGGAGAACTTATAAAAACCCTGCTGTACTTTAATCAACTTGTGATATATATTGGTGACATTTTCAGCAGACCCATAATAAATTTATGAAAGAACCAAATTTTATGACTGTTTTTTGTGACAAACATGTATGTGTTCCGATCACTCTATCACAGAAAAATAAGAGTTGTAGAACTTATTGGAAACTCAAGACAGCCATAACATTATGATTTTTTACAAGTGTATGTACACTTTTGACCACAACTGTATGATCTTCCAATCCATTGAGGTGAACCTTGGTAATCCAGTTTCAGATATTCCCCAAGGCTAAAAGAAAAAAAACTGAATTGTTTTTGTCACAATCTGTTAAAAAAAGTATCATGTTGAGGAACCTTGTCAACCCTTCTACGGTTCAGAAAGACTCAATAGACTGTGACTAATGGCTTCAACAAAGGGTAGAAAAGTGTAGTCTTAAATACTTTGTCTTTAGTAATACCAGACCACACAGGAAACTACAACAGTGTTCATGTCAGTTAAGTAAGGGTGTGACACCTCTGTAGGCTCTGGATCGAGAACAGCATGCCAGTGACCTAGCATTAAGAGCATTAATAATGGCTTGGAGCATCTTCCTAAGATAGGTGTGAAATTGACACACTGTCCCAGATATACCTTGTAATCGAAATTGATTGAGTTTTCTTAAGTGGTCCAACAGGATTTATTTTCAGCCTGCAAATGACTGACCGCATTACACAAAACATAACTAAAACCAAACAGATTACTAAATAATCAAAACTGTCACACAAAATTGGGAAACCGTGATGACTCATTAACCTTTTTCCAACTTCAACGCAACATAATTCCATATAGATATATAAGAGAGTAAAGTATGAAAAATAGCCATACCCATAGTGTGTACATTCTTAAACTTATACCTTGCTGAACCATCTTTCATTTGAATTTCAGCAATAAACCGTCTTTGATCAAGTCTATGCACATCTTGATTATATTTGCAATGCCTGACCTTACAAATGTAAGGTCAAGCATTACAAATGCTTGACCTTACAATCTGATGTAAGGTCAAGCATCAGATTGGGAGGACACCACTTGTCCACAGCCATGTTGAGTCATATCTGCAGGTTTCCTGTCTGATATAGTACTGGACTCAATTGTTTTGTTGACTTTAAGGAGCCTTTAGACTCACTGTGATGCTAAAAAAATAGAATCCTCTTTCACCTCCAGGTTTCAAGCAAACTGCTGATAGCTTATGCATAAAACTACCAGATATTTGGAACTTTTCATATATTTATCCACTTTTGAAAAAACTTCTGTTCAATCTGAAGAAAATCTGCTGAAAAAAAACAAACATGTTTTTATCAAAAACCATTGCATTGTTGTTCTTGCTATATTCTTTTGGTCAGGAATGTTTGATATTTAGCTCCATTCATCTATCAGTTGCAATACAGTGTCCTGTCCATGCTGAAGACAAACATTCCCACTGCATGATGATGCCACTATGTTTCACAGTGGGGACTGACTGTTCAGCTTTAAGTGTAGCACTAGAGGTTTGTCACTGTCAAAAAGCTACATTTTGTTCCCATCTGACTAAACAACCTACATCTACATGCTAACTCTGTTCGCAACCAGAAATGAAATTGTAATCCTAATTCTCCTTGCTGTGGATATATGTGGTTTACAGTCCGATCATGTCAGACTTCAGACCTCTGATATCCAGCAACTTCTGGATGGATTTTCCCCAGGTTTTAGCAGGATACATGGTAAGGAGGAAATTCTGCAATTTAATTTAGATGCTCCAGAGCAATTAATGTCTGAAACGGGGTGAGAAGTTCAAAGCCTGGGATATGGTTTCATAATCTAAACCTGATTTATATTTCTCTACAACTTTCTTCCTAACCTGACATGGAGGGATTTGGATTGATTTGTGGACTTCTTTGAGGAGTCATAGATTAGCTTGTTGTGACTTGGCTTTGAAAATAAACTCAGTTGCGAAGCTTAGGTGTGCTTTGCGTGAACATTTAGGTTTGTCATAGTTGCCAATGACACCAATAACTACTGTTGCCACAGAAAGCAATGTGACCAGGCTTAGGACCATCTACAATTTGAAAAATTGTTCATAATCCTCCTTCTGCTTTCATTAAAATATTGAAATTGTGTTATTTGTTACATATTTTATTTGTTAGAAGTTGTAGTTGGTTCACTTGAGGACATGACAAGGACTAAATTCTTTACATAACTGCATTTACCTGATCAGCAGCCACACCTGGTGATGCAGAATGTTTTAATGTACATAGATCACACAACATTTCAAAAGTTCCAGAGAAATTAGAATCATGTGCAAAACAACATAAAATATCAAGTGTTAGTTTGTTACTTTGAACAGAAACAAGCAGCATACAAAATCTCTGAATATGACTACATACAGCTTACTTCCATTTTTAGCTCACTGAAAAAGGTTGAAAATTAAATGATGAATTCAAAATGACCAAATAAAAACAATTTTACTTTAGTTGACCTTAACTGACAGGATAAATGTCACTGAGAAAATAAACCCATTTTCAAGTTAGACCCCATTCCAAAATAATATAGGAGAGCTGAGTTCAGTTGAAAACTGATCTGATTATCAGCAACATGTAGGATGAAGACATTTCTTAAGAAGATTCTGTCTAGCAACATGAAGTAGGCTTTTTCAGTGTGTTATGTCAAACTTTTGTTTGGCATATGTTTTATTTCAATCAATCAAGCAAGCAAGCAATTTTAGCTATAAAGCACCTTTCATGTTGGAGGCAGCTCACTGGAAACACAAAATAAAGGGTATTTCTGAACTGGGTTTGAATCATCCAGGGTCACAGTCTGCAGGTGCAAATACCAGAGTTGTGAAGTAAACTGAAACTGGTGAGATACTCCCTTTTGCTCCCATCTTTGTAAGAGGGCTGGTGAATATTAAAAGCGATGTACCTTCATCTTTTCTTCACTTCCCTGGACTAGCCAGGGCAATCATTGTTCATATTCTTTGCTTAATTTCTTAATAAAATAATAATCAAAATGCATTTTGATTTGTTCTTAATAGACTCAGTGTTTCACCTTAGGTAAGACTTATTTTCTTATCAAGTATTGAAAAGTAGAGTTTGGTTAATTGATCAGTGAGTTAAACAGAAATAATCCTTAGAGCTAAATTCAGTGATCATGTATGCTGCATGCTGTTCTTTTATTATGCTTCCTGTTCGAAGGAAACACGGTGTTATACCGTGTGACATGTTTCTGAAACAGTTATGGGCTATGCAGCTAACTGCGGCTACAAGAGCAGCATCAGAAGATGGTTATTTTAAGGAGCCTGAGGTAAGAATGAAGACAGGATTGAGTAGTTTTAGTTTTGGTGAATATATTAGTGATTTGAATAAAAACAACAGGCAATTACAAATGCACAATGAGAGACAAATTAACTCAAAATAAATCAATTCCAAGATCATAAAGTTCTTGTCCTTATTCCTAGCTCGCCATCCTTGGATTCAGAAGAGGATCTGATCCATCAGGAATAAAAAAAAAACAACCTAAAAGGCCAGAAAACCCATTTAATGTTTTATCAAAGCAATCAGGGACAAACATACAAATGCAAAAAATATTAAATGCAAATGCAATTATTAAATTCTTAATTAAATATTTCAATCAGGTTAAATTAGCCATAATTTAAATAAAGTAAAACAAAAAGAACATTCATACTTCAAACTAATCAATTTAAAGTTAAAGTTGAAAAGTTGAAATCAAAGTTCACTTTCAAAATATCAAGAAAAATAAAATAAATTAACTCAAATACTCAAGCAAAGTGAGGAAAAGAAAAAAATAAATAAATAAACTGCGCAATATCAACTTAAATGTAGCTACATCCCATTTTAAGCATTTTTTCGAAATTCAAATATATATACACAATATATATTGTGTATATATATTGTGATTAGANATTATGATTTTTTACAAGTGTATGTACACTTTTGACCACAACTGTAGATAAAAGATGCATTATGCTTCATGTTCGATCTTTGAAACCTGCAGATTTACTCTAATGCATACAAAACTTCAAATGCACTTCAAATAAAAAGATAAGGTACAGAAAGTGGTTTTGGCCTTTTTTCAGATTACCATCAGTGAACAGTCATTGAACCGACCTCGTCGTGGATCTGCATGGTGTTGATCCGCTCCAGCTTGCTGGTCCAGTACTCCGCCTCGTCTTCTGGGATATCTGGTCCAAGGAGATGGAGGAAAGCAACAAAGTTAAGAAGAAAGACCCGCAGGCAGGCATGGGAAGGAGGGATATGTCAAGTGATGAGTGGAGAAACAAAATGAGAAAATAAAGCAGATAATCCTGGAAAAATCAGAAGTTAAGTCAGCCAAAGTGGAGAAAGAAATGAAAGACCATGGAGGCTGGAGCTCCACCCTGATCTCTGCTCTCTCTCTGCTCTGGACTCTCTCACCTCAACGTGTTCAAACCTTAAAGTCATGCATTTTTCATGGCTGATAAATGGGAACTTTTCTTTCCAGGCCTCAGAATCAAATTAACCAGCAGCAGCTCAGGGTTTCCCTAAAGCCAATGCAGGTTTTAAACAGGAGAATAATTAAGTGAAGTTTACAATGTCCGGCTGTAGTCTCCAGCATCAACACGAACAAGATGCAACACAACTTTACATGAACTAAAGATGAACCGATAGACACGTTTTCCCTTACTCTCCCCATGTTTCTGCAGCAGGCTCTTGTGTTTGGTTTAATGGTCTAAAAACGGCTTTTTCTGAGCAAACAGAAATCCTCAACCTGTGTCCTGTGTCTATCTGGGAAATCTAACCAAGCTAAAACAAGAGACGTTTGGTCAGATTTAACTTCAGACAGAGAAAAAAAAATTATATTCAGAGTATGTAAATATCTGGTTTCAACATGTAAAAGAAAAATAAAACAAGATCCCAGAGCAGGAAGAGTTTAATATGGATAGCTGGGAAAAAAAGGAGAGCAGGAAATAAAAATGAAAAGGTTGTGAAAGATTAACAGAGTGTAACCCATCATAAAAACTTAATGCAGCCTAATGGTAGTTCCACATGTTCCACCATTTAACAGGAAGTGAAGTGAGTAAAACAGAGCAGGCAGCTGTGAGCAGCTAAAGAAGGATTTATAGTAACTTTAGCTTAGTAATTATGATAAAGTAAAGACAGTAAATCTTTCAGTTTAGTGGTTTGTTGAATTTGTCCTGGTGATTTGATTACTTCAATTTGCAAAAAGCATGTTCTCTCTTGAGTTTTACATCACTGAATTTGAACTCAATTCCTCTCTTAAGAATGAAAAATAATTGGACAAATCAAGCAGTGCAGCTGCCCCACAATCCTCTTTATTACCAGTCTGAATAAAAAAAAACACATTGTAACTTTTTAAAATGTTTTCTGGCACCACTAATGTGCCAAATATCTAAACAATAAGGAGATCACTGGGATGGTGTCAGTGACTACTGTGATCCATGGGCAGTATTTCATTGTATTTTTAACACTTATGTTCTCTAAAATGTCTTAAATAAAAGCATCAATAAACATGCAAGAGGAGTACCGCTTTCTGTCCGTTATGCTGCTAGAGCTGCAACTATTTTCATAATCGTTTATTCTGATGGATAATCGCGTAACCGGACAACAAATTTTCATAAACAGATTTTCATTTAAGCTTATTTTATAAAATATTAGAACTATATTAAAATTTGAAAATAAACAATTTCCATTTTTAAACAAGAAAACATTTTATAACCTATTTACATATCATTCCTAGCCTGGTAATTTGATGCATATGTAACTAAAACAAATAATACTTCCAACATCAATATGTTAATATCTCAGGCCTTTCTGCTTGATTTAACATCAATACTGTATAGAAATGATCTGTTGATTATTTTTTGGATTAAACGATTAATAATTGGAGTCTTAGAAGGAGATTTTTTTTACAGAATTTGAACCTAAAATTATGTCACTTTAGGAGTCTTGGGTAGAATATGTTTACAGACAAAATGTATATTTATTTTTTTACAGTTTGGGCTTAATTACTGCTCTGAGTGTTCTTTTTTGGGGTTTTTTATTGAGTGTTTATAATGATTAATCGATTACTAAGTTAGTTGATGATTAGTTGAATAATCGATTAATCATGTCATGATTAATCGTGGTTAATCGCTTCAGCCCGACGTGATACACTCCAAAAGGAAGCTCAAAGCGAGTGTCCAGCAGCACTTGGTGAGGCGTTGGGTTTGTGGTGCCGCAGATCTGATCCTCCTTCATCAACACCTCCGAGTCCAAAGCCGTCCAACTTCCTGGTCCCTCCTGGAGAACAGGAAACTCTCAGAAAAACAGATGGAAACTACCAAGACACTCATTTGCATTTCTTTAGGTTCGTCTTAAAGCAGCAATCAGGTTCCTATCTGTGCATCAATACAGTTATTGATCCTTATAATGGGTCTCTCTCTTCCTGCTGATCATCAGTGATGTTAACGTGGTTCAAAACAAGGCAGTGAAAGACTCACTCCTCCCAGTAATTTACTGAATTTATTTGTTTTCTTCTGAAACCTTCCCTAATAGTAACAAATACTAGACTCTGTCAGAAATGTCAGTTTTCTATGTATTTTAAATTTAAAGTCTCAACTGGAAAGAACAGTTAAAGGCCAGAAATATCCTTTGCGATGCTTGAATGTTATTGTTGGCCATCGATCTAAAGAGCTTTATTTTTGTTTATTGAGGAGAATGTTATGAAATTTTACTTAATGTCGAAAACAAATAAATAACTTTCAGATTTCTCTCTGTACAGTAAAATGATAAAACTCGAACTGAAATGATTAATCAGATTAATCGTTTTTTAATTATATATCAAAATTATATATGTATATGTTTTTACATATGCAAAATAAGGTTGTTGTTTTTTAAGATTAAAAAGACATTTTTTAAGATAAAAAAAAACACATTTATTTTTGGTAATATATTTTACCCAAAACTCCTCAACTGGCAGTTTATGCAAAAATATATTTTAAAAATGTTTTAATTACCTTTTTACCCAATTATTAATCAGTTAATCCAAAAACTAATCAACAATCAGCCCTACACTGCACTAATCAAGCTGAAAGGGCTGAAATTTAACATGTTTATGGCAGAAAAATTTACTTCAAGACGCATTTTGTTAAAAATTATCAAACGTTCACTAAAGAAATGTGTAAATAAAATCTCATTTAAATGAAAAAAATGGGAGAATGTGCCATTTCGTTTACCCAATTAATCAATAAATTGTGAGAATAATGTGTTAATTGCTAATTAAATAAACGGTTACCTCATCAGACTGATGGATGGTGTCCAGCGGGATCAGTGCTGTGCCGATCATAGTGTCCCAGATCAAACCTTTGTTCCACAGCTCCACCACCAGACCCGAGTCCAGATTGCTGATCTCGCTGTGGAAATGAGCAAACACAAAATACAGCAAACAGTCTTTACACTTGGTCACAACTACAATCATTTAAAGGAGTCAAGCTTATACTTTTATCACTACAAACACAGTATAAACAACCTACCAGTAGTACCTGAGCGTTGTACTAGGTGATTTTAGATTTGTTTTGAAATGCATAAATAATTTGGCTCCGTTTTATGTTCTGAACTGTTTCACCATCATATTCCAACTTGTACTCTCAGATCAGCAGATCGGATGCTTTTAAAGGTACCTAAGGAAAAGTGCTGAGGAATACGGCAAATAAATGTTTTGCTCTTATTAAAATAGTCAAAGTAAAAATATTTCTTAAGGTGTTCATTTGAACGAATGGTCGACAGGAGCAGCAAACGTCGAAACCTGCTGCAAACACGGGAATAAACATGAACCTCAAAACAGACAAAAAGAAAAAATAAATGGATCAGTAAAACTCTGCAAACAAGAAAAATACTGCAAATAAAAAAGGAGCAAAGGGAAAACGTTGCAAAAACAACTGCAAGTACAAAACATTGCTAATTCGCTCCACAAAACGAAAGTCCTCCAGAACACTAGGGGGAGTATGGAGCAGGTAACATAAATATGCTGCTGTTATAAAATGTGTAAAAAGAAAATAAGCATAACATAAATTCTGTCTTCCGTTTGGACATCCTGTCTTTATTAAGGGTCTGATCTCACAGATTTGCTAGTTGACTGCCCCTAGTGGTCTGGAGGACTTTTGTTTTTTGGTATTAGTGTTTCATATTTAAACTTTTTGTTATTTGTAGCGTTTTTCTGTAGCACTTATTTATTGTGTTTTGGAGTTTGCATCATTAATATGTTTGCAGCGCTTTTTGCCCCGTCAGCCACCGTACCTAACATAACACAAAACACGACAAACTGCTTTTAACCTGCAACTTTGGATTTTATATATAAACACATGAAAGGACCATTTTCAATATTAGCTAAATGTAGTGAAGCTCATGTTAAAATCACAACCAATCAAAAGAAAGCATACATCTGGTCTAAGATGGGATTTATTTTTATTCTTCAGTCCGGCACAAATCTTCTTCCCCCTTAAGGTCACGAGGTTCACCAGTTTTTGTGCAGAAACAATAAGTGCCAAAATGACAGCTGTCATTTTCTCTAAAGAGAAACAGAAGCCAACTGTCTCCCCTGCTCATCTGCATATTCATATTCACATCCTCATTCACATTCATGTCGCCTCGGTTTGCCTGTCAATCATCTCTGATGACGCTCAGCAGCTCAGATGATGGAGAGACAGTGGGTGGGAGAAGCTAAGTTGTGTATATACTTGTTTAAGTTGCCAATTAAGGAGATTTTCTGGCCTTATGGGGGACAAAAGTCATAAAATATCTGATGACTCGGTTCATTTGGAGACCAAAGTTGCAATAAATTTTTACATTTTCAGCTGCTGCAGTTCGATTTCACATTCAGTCAAACTAATTCAAAAACCTGTTCCCCTCCTCACCTGTGGTGGCGCTGCACCAAGAATTACAGAAGGAAACGACTCGAACACCTCTAAAGAAAACAGAACTTATTTTTTCATAAAATGTTAACAAAAATGAAGTAGCATCAGATTTTAGTACTTGTAGGACTTCTCTCGTCTTTGGAAAACATCAAAAGCCATTTCTGCCGCTAGCGCTAGACTTGTGCGTTTGTTTTGGTTGCTTTTACCCAGAATGCCCTGTGTTGTATAACAAACTGACAAACAAACTGGAGTTTGATCAAAGCAGACTAAATGGGGCTTAAGTTAGGCTTGTCACAATAAGAAATTTTGCTGATTACTTGTTTTAGAAAAACTCTGAATGATATTGACTTTTGGATGACAATAAATTGTTCCAATAATTATTGCGATTAATGATAATTTTTTTGAGACCATTTTCAAGTAATGTACTGATAATGGCATATTAATGCATGTCAGTAACTTGCGCAGCAGCAGTTTAAAGTTTAGTCATAGTTTTAACAATTATTTTAAAAAATCATTTTATAAAAGTGACATGTTGTACCTTTAATTTTACAATTTCTCAGCTAAATCTGAATCTTAAATGAGTCAAAAATATGATTTATTAGCAGATAAAAATGACATTTTGGTCAAGGTGAGCTGCTTTAATCTCATATTACATAAGATGACAGTCTGTTGGTTTAAAGGGATGGAAATTGAAAGAAAGAATACAGTTTTTATTACTGGCTCAGTTTAATCTATGGGATTATGCAGTTTTATGATTAAAAACATATCTGGTGTCTGAATGACGTTCCTGAGTTGCGTCTCTGGTGAAAACTGTCAGAATCGGTGCATTTTTAAACACCCAGAAGGACACTGTGTGTGTTTGAGCCGAGACTGAGAGCAGACAGACGGGAGATCTGTGAAATCAGCGGTGAAATTCAAACATGTTCCTGCTGGGAAAGCTTTGCACAAACACACACGGCCGTTTCAGGATCAGGAACGAGAAAACAGCATTTTCTTCTTGGCAATGCTCTTCTATATGCCATCAGTCTTGTTGAGTTGGTTTGATTTTGACATGATCATCAATGTTTCAGCACTTCTGTCTGTTTAAATCTTAGAGTCCATACTCAACACCCAACCCTGCGTCACTGTGTTAACTGACCCTATCGGTATTCTTAATTAAATCAATAATATCTACAACAAAATGATTTTCATTCCTCCCAGATGAAAGTGGTTTTAAGGAAGCGGTTGTGCACTCACACAAGCCAAAGCTGAAGTCGATAGTCCTCTTTAAGTTGAAAGGCTGCAGTTAGGTTTATGCATGAGATGGGTTTTTAATGCCCACATGTAAATTTATCAATACTTTTACCCATTTCCTGGAAGATGTTTAACAGTACCTAATCAGTTAAAATGAGATTGATCATTTCAGTTCTGATGATTAATATTTTTCAAAGGACAATTTTGATCACAGAGACAAAACATTCCATCTTATTTATGGTTTTGTTGTTTCTGTTTTGACACTTTGAGTGTTTGGTGTTCTTTACAAAATGAACGTTTTTTGGTTGTTGAGAGAGCAAACCTGTGTTATTATCAATATGTTAATTGAAAATCGTCTCAATGACAACAATATTATCACTTATTGTCCCAGATTATATATTGTCTTTGTCAAAGATATATTGTTACTGACAATATATCGTCCAGCAAAATTTGTTATTGTGACAGGCCTGGTCTCAGATTTCTGGCAAAAACTCACATTTTTAAATTCATGTCAGAAATTTTCAAGAAATGGACATTTAAAGTTGGAAACTTTTGACATTTCAAACTGAAATTTACAAGTTTTTTTTTTAAGTTCTGAGATTATTCTTAAAATTTCTACTAGCAAATATTTGACTTTTCAAACTCAGAAATTTCCAACTTTGTTTCTAGAAAATTTCTAAAATTAGTCTAAAACTTTCTGAGTTTTCTACTAGCAAATGTTCAACTTTTTAAGCTCAGAAATTTCAAAGATTTTTCAAGAAAATTTCTGACAATCTCAAAATGTTTTGGCATAAATCTAATCCCTTTTTTATAGAACTAATACATCATCCGTTCAAATGATCACTTCTAGTAAAGTCAGCTGCATTTCCCCATCCTCTATTCAATAAATTCCAATTAAAATATATAAAAAATCTGAATGCAAAACAACGTGACGACACACCATGAATTGGATTTATGAAGAACAATACGTAGCATCCAACTATTTCGTCTTATTTAAACATCCAGATGTAAGAAACTTTGCAGATCAGAGTCAGAGAAGCAGAATGAAGAAGGGCAGGAGGAGGAGGAAAGGGTTTCCAACAGACAGACGTTAATCTCTCCTGTTGTTGTAATTTGATAAAGTCACTCCTCAAACACTTAATACAGGCTGATGCAGGCAGAAGGAAAAAGGTCACAATTTGTTGATACTTTAGCAGACCTTAATTGAAGGAAAGAGTAGGCGATGACCCGAAACATCAGACAAACCGATCAATAATCAGAAGAGCTTCTCCCCAAACATCTAAATAAATGTATCCTTAGTTGTTTTCCAATTAAAATAAAACACATACATCTGTGAGCTTAGACCAGCCCATTCTTTACTGCAAAAAAACTAAATCTTACCAAGTACTTTTGGTCTATTTCTAGTGCAAATATCTTAGCATGCTTGAAATGAGACAAAATTAGCTTTTAAGTAACTTTTCAGCAAGACATTAGAGCTTGTTTTGAGCCAATAATTCCTTAATATTGATAACAAGGTACAAGTACCATTATTTCACTTATAACCAGACATTTTTCCCGTGTTAAGTGAAAAAATATGTCAATAGAAAAATAACTTTTTCACCAATATTAAGGAATTACTTAATTAAAACATCCTCATACATCTTGTTGTCTATTGGTTTGTTTATGTACAAAAACATTTGAACTAAAACTAGACCAAAAATACTTGGTAAGATTTTGACTCATTGACAATCAAAGAGTCATATTAAAGCAAAGTAAAAATGCTAACATTAGCCTAGCATGTCATCTAAATGCTCGGTATAGAAATATCAGTTTAACTGGAATCTGCAGCTGTATTGTACATCAGGTTATTTTTTAAGCTGTTTAGCATCATTTCCTGCTGCTAGGAGAATCACTGAAGCACTGAGGTTCACTGCAGAAAACACAGAACCGATAATAGCTTTAAAATGAATGAACTGCTGCGTGATGTACTGCACTACACTGCAGGCAGCGGCCAGATTGGGAATTGATTTTGCGGCTCTGTGGAGTAAGATCTAATTCAGTCTGCAGCGTCACTGAATTTAATCTAGTATGATTTAAAGAATTACTCATGAGCATCAGCACTAACCCTTTATTGTTTTGCAATACACATGTTAATCGTAGAATTGTGACTTTTTTCGCAGAATTTTGTCTTTAATTGTAGAATGCTGACTTTTTTGAGAAAAAATACATTTTCTCATAATTCTTGTGGAATTCCGACCTTTTTCTCAGAATTTTGACTTTAATCGTAGAACTCTGACTTTTGATCTCAGTCGATTAATGTCATAGTCCTGAGAAAAAAGTCATAATTCTATTAAAGATTAAATAATTCTTTTTTTCCCCCAGTGGCCCTGATCGTCTTCCGTACTCTAAACACTGAAATAAAAAAATCTGTGAGCAGAGAGCAGACCAACTGTTCAAAGTAAAACGGTCAAAAATCCCCCTCTCTGTGCATATTGCAGTCCGGTTGGCACAATGGGCTTGGAGAAAAATTAGCAGCCGGTCTGCTAGTAGCTGTGGCACAATCATTACTTATCATGAGATTTTCCAAATTAAATCTGGATTTTTCTGCTCTTCAGATGCGCCTTTTTGCACTAAACCTCATTTTGCCATCAGTGTTTCTCTGCACAGCTGCCAGATGCAGGACGAGTTAAAAAAACTAATTATGAGATGCCATTCAAACGACCCAACAAGGATGTTTTGCCCATCAGACAATACTTCCACACACAAATTGCTGATTTTCTCCTCACACATTGATTCCAACATCACCACTTACAACAGAGCAGGAAGCGTAAAAAGACCCAGCAGATTTCTAAATCAGGTGCATCTTTACCTCCATGCCCTCTGGAATCAGGATGGGCTGGACAATTCATTAGATTTCTAACTGGCTCATCCACTTATCTGGCAGGTAATTTCACTTTCCATCCATCCAACCTGCTTCTGCCCAAATTCTCATTTAGGAGGCCGTGTCAGCCAGCCAGACCGAAGTCCCACCGGCCGCTGCTGTGCACCACTTTCAATGCCACAGAGGCCCATTTAGACCAGATAACAAGTCAGCTTGCAATGGCAACCTGGCCTGCATTCATCTGCAGGCTGCCACAGCGTCTGAGGCACCAATTTCTCTCTGCATTTGTCTTGATACATCCCAGAGGTTTGGGGGCAAACAAGCCGTTAGTGACAACACTTTGCAAAAGAACGCCAGAAAAATAAAGCAAAGCGACGATCCAAACTGAAATAAATTAATTTAGATGTTAAATAGGGCTGAAATGACTAATTGGATTAAATGTGATTAATTGATTTTTTAAAAATAATCGTCAAATAATTTAGTAATCAATTCATCATTAAGTGGAGAATACAGACTAACTTGATAAAAAAAACAACATATTCAAACCAGAACTGTACAAAATATATTAAAACATTGAATTCAAGATAAAAACACCTTTATCTGTAAATATGTTGCATGAAATACATGTCCCTATAAAATAAACAAAAATATTTTTAAAAGTTTTTTTTTTCAAGATTTATTTCATTGTTTATTCATTTAATAACCGTTTTATTTTGTGACACTATGCATTTCATGTACTTTTATCTTTTTAACTCTGTTTTATCATCAATAGAAATAATAAAAATGGAACAAACATTTATTTGATCACATGAAATAAATGTCCCTGTGAAACAAATCAAAAACTGATATTTTAAAAATGTTTATGCGTTTATTTCTTGTTTATTTTAATATTTATTTACTTCATTCTTTATCCATTTAATAACTGTTTTACTTTATGACATTTTAATTTTGTAAAGCTACTTTATGCATTTCTTGGACTTTTAAATTTTAACTCTGTTTTCCTTGCATGGCTGAATACAAAAATCTTCTGCTTCCCATTTCTGCCCTCCTTCATGTTTGTCTGTCACATGAAATCCAATTGAAAACCGCAGAAGTTTGTGGTTATAATGTGGCAAAAGCAGAAAGGTTCAAGTGGTTTAAATACTTTTGTAAATATTAAAGTATGTTACTTACAACATGAAGTCCTGCTCCCAGCATGGCTGATCTCCACGGACTGTGATGGTTGTGCTCTTCACATTCTGGACCTTTAAGGTGACATAGGCGTTGAATTTGTCTGGAAAAAAACAGAAAATGGAAAAGTAGAAACTCAAGTATTTGTTAAACACTGTTGGGGGTCAGACATGAAAGATACGAAAAACTAAATGTTATTTTAAACTTTTGTTATCTTTTATTCCAGGAAATATTCAGAAAATCCCAGATTAAAATGGAGAGTTTCTCCTTGTATGTACTGTAAGCTGGGGTATTATTGATGTGATGAAATGTTGTAAAACATTTTGTCACACAATAAAATAAAGGGGTAAAATACTCTTCAGATCAAATACATTTCCAATATTAGCCGTTACTGTTTTTCACATCTGAATAAAAATAAAAAGAAGAAAACAGGTTGGAAATATATTAAATGTTTAGATTTTTCCCATGTTGTAAATCCATTCATTCATCTTTTTACAAATCTATCCACCCAAACGTTTACATGCATATCCATCCACTAATTCATCTCTCCACCATTCATCAGTCCATTAATGTATCCATCTTTCCATCCGCTTATCCATCAATTTACCTATCCTTTAATTTATCCATCCATTCATCCAGTTATCTATCCATTCATGCATCCTTCCATCTATCTATTCATCCATCTACTTATTCTTTAATTTATTCATCCATCCCCGTCCGATTATCCATCCATCCATTCCACTGCTGCCTTTGCTTTTTGCTGATTCCATATGAATCAGTTAAACACATAACTAGTATATTCACAGTGAAAGTTTGAATTGACGCTTTAAAAAAATATTACCGGTACAAATAATCAAACGGCCAAACCTCTGATTACCAACTGCTGTTGAAGAAAAAAATGGTCTGAAGAAAAAAGCACAGCATGTTTGTGCCTTAACTTTTCCTCTAACATCAAATGCATTCATTTCTCTGAGCTGCCTGCTAATGCAGCTGCTCTTACAGCGACAGCTTTTAGGGAGTCAATCTACACAGGCTGAGGCATGAAGAAAACAACATAAAAGGATCTGAAACGGAGCTAAAAATCATTGCAAAAATGAATCCATAAAGGATCTGCTAGTATAGATGATTCAGATGTTATTCTGTGTTATTTTGATAAGATTTCAGGTGGTTTATACAGACTGAAAGAAAAATCAATGCAAGAACTGGCAACTTTGTAAAGGATCAGCTGTTATTAAAGATGCAAGTTATCGACTCATGAAAGGTGAGTCATTTTAATTCTTATCGATCATATGCTGAATTAAGAAAAATAGATAATAAAAAGTATATACATTTGTGTTAGCTATATTAAATACTGACTAAATAAACAGAAAATTGTGGTTTTCTCACGTCATGTTAAAAACGCAGACAGGAACATATTATCAATCAATAAATCAATCAAATTTTATTTGTATAGCACATTTCAGCAGCAAGGCATTTCAAGGTGCTTTACATAATTAAAAAACAAAATAAAAACAGCATGTGACATTGAATAAACAGTAAGAAAGAGAAAGATTTTGGAAATAAAAGAAAAAGATAAAAACATACTTTTGTTACGGAATTTAAGCGCCTGTCGTCGCTGGACTCCGCCGTCCGTTTAACACGGGTATTATCCAGGCCCGTCGCCTAACAGGACCAGGTCTCCAACCTTGCAGCACCAGGCTCCGTCCACCCATCACGAATTTTTGCGCTAGGACTTCGTCGTCCTACACGGATTTTTGTGCACTATTTTTACCTGTTACAGTCTAGAATTTACAGGGTTTTTCTGTGCGCGCAATGACCCTCAATCACTCGCAACTTTTACATAAATAGATAAAAAGTACAGATAAAAACATTAAAAACATCGAAGACATTTTGCTGTCATGCTCTCTACCCCTAATTTAGCCATAAGCAACTCTAAACAGGTGGGTTTTAAGTTGAGGTTTAAAGGCACCCAGTGTTTCAGCTGTTTTACAGTTTTCTGGAAGTTTGTTCCAAATCTGTGGTGCATAGAAGCTGAATGCTGCTTCTCCTCGTTTGGTTCTGGTTGTGGGGATACAGAGCAGAACCAGAAGACCTGAGGGGTCTAGACGGTTGGTACAGCAATAACAGATCTTTAAGGTATTGTGGTGCTAAACCGTTCAGTGATTATTAGGTTGTTGAATAGAAGAAAAGGTCGAAAATATTTTCTTCTGTTCATGAGAAGTGACATACTTCCCATGAACAGAAAAATGTTCATGCATTAGTACCGTCTGTGGTTTATTTTTAATTAATATTAATTTGAACTTCTCTGCGTTGTCTTAACCGCTTTACCCTCACCTTCGTAGCAAATCAGTCATTTTTGTTGAGATATTGACACTGCTCCGCCATGAAGCACCTCCGCTTAATCAGCGCTATTAAAGTGAAAACTTAAGCAGTTTATCGAGTGTTTATATTTGAAAACAGAACCGCTTAAAGCGTATGTATCATCCCACACCAGACTCTGCCTGAAAGATTTTTCTTTCCCAGTCTGAAGTGGCGCCGCCGCCATCTTTGTTTCTGTAACGGCTCCGCTTCAGGATGAACAGCGGCGCCCTCTGTTGGATGGCGGGCAAACTACAACACTAAAATGAAATATGGTCGTTATTAGTTATTCAGTTAAGTTAATTAGTTAAGAGGTGGGCAGAGAATCTCAAAACAGTACTCAAGTAAGAGAAGCACTACTTCAACACATTTTTACTCAAGTAAAAGTAAAAAGTAGCCATCCAAAAAAAAAAAAAATACTCAGAACTTAATGTAAAGTTAAGTGGAAATGTTGGTATTTTAAAGACCAAGTAACAACAAATAACACAATCAGGCAAAATACATTTTTCCAAATTTTTTTTTTTAAATAAAAAACTAATGAAACTTTACCAAAAACTGAAGGTGTGTGTCTGTGTCTGGTGAATTTTTGGTTAAAACATGTTTATTTTTCATTCAGTGGGTAGAAAATACAGACATTTTACTCCAGTAAGACTAGAAATACTTAATAAAATTACTCAAGTAAAAGTAAAAAGAACAGTGTAGTAAAAATACTCAAGTTATTTTTTTCAAATATTAAACTCAAGTAAATGTAACTAAATACTACCCAGCTCTGATCAATTGCAATTTAATCTAATTAACCTAGCTGTTATCCTGATAAAGTTATGATAGAAAATTATTTTTAGTTTACCAAAACCTATAAATCATCAACTCTGCACTTGTTCTGTTGTGTTGATCTCTTATGGGCTTTCTGCACCATAAAATGACTTTTCTTTCTGTTTCTGAGCGAGTTAATCTGAGATAATTCATCATTCACTTTACAGAGTCTCCAGGTCTGTGATTCTTGTAGACAGCTCCATTAACTGACTGCTAGCACCAGTGAGAAAAACATACAGGGTCATGACTGTAAGCAAAAATAACCCAACGAGAAACAAAAACACAGCGGTGAGAGTATTAACAATCCAGCATCTGTTGTCTGTGACCCTGCAGAGATTGTTGAAGCCACAATCAGAACAACGCAAACTTCCATTAACGTTCTTGTGCAAAACCCGCAGAAACACATCAGATGCAGGCGAGCTTGGGGAGAAGATATCCCAGCATGCAGCAGGGCCTTCTTGGGAGAGCATCCGGCATCATTTATAATTAACTGGCAATGACTTATGAAAATGAATAAGTTATATTCAGTTACGCATGGACGTGCGCGGTGCGGCTGGACCAGATGACATTTACTGGGCTGTCTACAATAATGAATACTCTATTATGGGCACCGAGGAAGATTGGAGAGGTTTTGGAGATGGAGAAGAGATAAAAACATCCAAATCTGTTTATTGTTCGACAGCAGAAGGACAATATGTTCCCTGTTTCATTACAATTCCCATCTAGTTGTGTCTAATTAATATTTGCACACTGAAATTAAAGTAAGTGGAATCACACAGGAGCCATCGCATATGAGGAATCGGAAGGTAACTCAAAATTATTTGTAGAAAATTCAAATAATTTAGATGTTTTTGTAGTTTATCTAAAATATTCTAAAGAAAATGCAGCTTGGGACATAGAAATACCATGACTCAATGCTACTTGACACCCTATACATAATTTCCACAAGTCTGAACTGGATCAGCGCCATCTTGGTAAGCAAGTGGAGTGCAAAGCAAAGATGAACCATGGCTTCTAGACCAACAAAAATAAAGTATACTGACACTATTTTTTAAGATTAAAAAACAGTAGCTGATTAAATGCAGCTACTATGTTCAGTTTAATAATATAAATTATTATAATTTTTTTAAGTACAGTATGTGGCATCCTGAAGAAACCCATTTCAAATGGTAATATTTTTCAAGAACAATATTTGTGTTTTGGGGAAATAAATGCTGTACCATTAAGTCACAGCTATGCAGTCAAACTAGCAATAAATAGTTATTTTGATCACAAGTTGTGCAAAAATACAGCGGGATTGGTTAAAACAAACTTTAAGCAAACAAAGGTTTTGCAATTGTGTACTGAATTCTGCGTAGCATAAAAACAACCTGAATTTTATTTTTCCATATATTCAAACACTGTGAGTTCTGTGTATTTTTTGTCTTACAGTAAAGTGCAATACAATTTTTCTAGTGATTACAGGAAGATAGACCTCTGAAGTGGCCACACAGTTCCTGGATGAAGTAAACTGACTCAGAAGAAATTGCTAAAAGTCATTCAGCACAACAGTTCAGGCTGTGTCAGCGCAGGCCGCCTCATTACTCCAACACTATCCCTTCATTAAAGCCAGAGACTCCTCTGCATTCATTATTCTGCAGGTATAACCAGGACATGACAGGAAATATGACACATTTTGCCTACAATTCGCTGCTCATAATAAATTATATAACAATATGTGGTGCAGATATTTAGGATTTATCTTATTAGCTTAAGAGAAATCCCTAACAAATCCAATCTATTGTCACTTTACACTTGGTCTCAAAAGGAAAAACTTCAAGTCTATAAGGATTGTATTGAAACTTTTCACTGAAACTTTAACCAGGATTTTAGAAAAATAAGTCTTCGTAGAACCTAGGCTTGTTACAATACTGAATTTTGGATGACAGTGAATTCTCCCAATAATTATTGCAATAATTGATAATGTTGACCATTTTCAAGCAAAATATCAACAATGGCATAATAATGCAACTTTTCCCTCTTAGACCAATAAACTTTAATTTAACTGAAAGATATTCTAAATATTCACAATAAAACCCTACAAAAAACAATAAAATGGAAATAAGAACCACACACAATAGAAATCTTAAATTAAATGGATTATGAAGCCTCTAAACAAAATTGCTCTATTTTTAAACTTTAATGAGTCTTTTTGCCCTTTCTGCTCACTTTTATTCACTATTTTGTGATGGTTAATCACATTAAATACCTAGTAAAATACATAGTCTTGTCACTGTAACCCAAAAGTGGAGGAAATACTTTAAAATCTGGATAATAAAATGACATATAAACCAATCAGGTTTCGGAAATGTCCTGGGACAGCAGCCAGTTCCCTCTGGAAATAAATCCATCGCTTCTTACCATTAAGCATAAATCAGAGCATGTTTCCAAAATGGGGCATTAGAGCGGGACAAAACCAAAAAATTTTTCCTTGACCTGACACGAATAACTGTGTCACCTGACAGAGCGGCATCCTGGGTAAAACGTTTATCGGTCACATCGCCGGACACAGCAGCCCCAAGGAAACACAGATCCTGTAAATAGGTCAAGTTTTCAGAGAACTGAAGTTTCCCCATCATGTCTGGATAGCTGTCGATTTATAAAAACTAAGGCTGACTTAAAAACACTCAAGTGTTTCAGTCAATTTTACCTCTCACTGTATTTGATGGCCCCTGACCCCACTCAGACGCAGCTCATTATCCTCACTCTGAAAGAGTGAATCATGGTGCAAAGATGGCCAACATGGAAAAGTATAAAAATAAGTTTCTTGTTCCAGTTGCTGTAAAAGCAAACACCAAATTATTTTAATCTATACAAAATAATGTTTTTTTCTGCACAAACTTCTGCATTTTGAATCATTCAGGTCCACTTTTCAGCATCAGTAGCTGTGTTTTTATTACAAACATGCGCAAAACGTTGTCTTTTTTCTGCTAATATTGAAAAATCACAATTTTGCAATTGCAGGATTACCATTAAATAAGAAACAAAATTAAAATCACATGTGAATGTTTGTTCACTTTAAAATAAGTCAATTTTTCAGCATCAGTATCAGAGTTTCCATTATAAATGTGCAAAAAGCTCTGTATATTTTCCCACTAATGGATGTAATGTATTTTTCACATGTGAATAAGTTTGTTCATGCAGTAAGTAATTCAAAATAATCTGTGCCATCATCCCCCAACCACTTCCTGTCGTCATCTGCTTTGTAGTTTCTGCCAGTAGTAACATCCTGTTGATGATCATGTCACCTGTTTGATGTGAAAAAAAGTGTTTCCATTGCAGCTTTGCAAAATAAAGCAATTTCAATATTAGCTCATCCTAGTGCCAAAACAAGTTTTTCCTAAATTGTCGTTAAGCTAATTTATTTTTAAATGTCAAATTGCACGCAGCTTTTCCATTAAATAATAAAGATATGACATGTCCTTATTTCCTCTCCTTAAAACTGCTCATCTCTGTGCTGTTTGTCTCCTAAAGAGCTTGAAAGATTTTTCTCTGTAAATGAATGGCACATTGTCATCTCAGGCTAGCAGGTGGCCCTTTGTCTGTGATGATCTATTGATTTTCCTTCCCTCCTCCTACAGCTTGATTTCTTATTCTCCCACTCATTCCTGTTGTTCTCCCCTCATCACCGCTTGCAGAGAAGTGGAAGGGACAAACAGCTGCAGCCTAAAGAGACGTTTAAGACGTAAACTGGCTGGGAAGAGGGGACCATTCTTGCATCTCCTCTTAAAACAGTTTGAATTAACGTCATGCTTCTTACATGGCTTACAGTAATAGTAAAAATGGACTTCATTGGGAGAAAAGCAGATTGCATAACATGACTAACACTTTGGCTGGTTGGAAGTCCAACTGTGACACAGCTGGACTTCGATTTCTCATTGAAATCTAGGTCTAAAATATATATAATGCAATAAGTAGACATTAGACATTATACTATTGAATCACAAAAGGTCACAGTTTGTGCCAGAATAACATGTTTGCTGAACGTCAACACAGTGCAGAACTAAAACATAATCTTAGGTATAGTTATAAAGACAGTTTTGTCACTAGCAAATTTTGATGCAAGATACATTCTCCCAGTAATTATTGCCATGTTGTTTTGAGAACTTTTTAAAGTAATATATAATTTTGTAGCAATCACTTAACACTGGAACTGGAAGATTTTTTAAATATTCAAAATAAAACTAAACTCGATAAAATGGAAATAAAAAACACACACAATAGAAATATAATTGATTATGAAGTATCTGTAAACAGAATTTCCCTAAATCTTAAGATCTTCAGCATTTTAATGTGCCAGAAATTGTCTGAAATCCCACTTTTCATTGGATTGTCTTTATTGCACAGTTCTTCTTCTTCCACTGCATCATGCCATTAGGTAAATATAGACCAAAACTTTTGAAGAGTGTTTCTGAAAACGTCGTAACTCTTTGAATTGAGGCAGTTTTGTAAAATAGCCTGTGAATGTATGCATCTAATGTCCAATCGTGCGGTAGTTTGAGGCTTCCTATAAAGGTAATGCGTTTACTCACGCATGTGAATAAAGGAGAAAATTTGAATGGGTTCTTACCTGGCGGCCCATGAAGTTTGGCTTTCTTTACTGAAAAAGGAGAAGAAACATTGAGTTAGTCAATGTGTCAAACAGAAAACATACTTATTTGACAGTTTTAAGAAATATTTATCTTTGGAACATTTCACACTTGTAAAAATTTTATCGCGAATGTCTTTGAATTTTTATGTAGTCTAATAAAATAAAACAGAATTTGTTTTGAAAATGTTGCCTCACTAAATGCTCGTAAATTCTCCTGAGGCAGCAGGAAATTAATTCATTTAATAAAGAAAATTAAAGGGACTGGAGTAAGCATTCTCCCAGTGATTCTACTATATAGTTACAAAATAAAATAAATAATACAAATAATATCAGTCAAGCTCTTCAGCCATCTTTTTTGCTAATCTAACACTTAAGCTAATACTGTTAGCGCTAACAGCTAACACTTGACAGTTAGCCGTTTTCGTTGTTGTCTGTTCCTCTATTTTTTATTAAATCAAAGTTAATATTTAAGTTCCACTAGTTTAGTTACCATAACATTTCATTATTGTTTGCTTTTATGGTAAACCTTGCCATAAAAAGTGAAAAATACATATAAATAAATATTTATGTTGCATAGCATCAAAATGGCAACTATGACTCAGTGTTAACAATTAAGTTGCTGATCCACAATGTAAAAAACAGTTTACAAAAACCTAATTCCTATAATCGTCTTCCATAAAGTCAACAAAAAGATGAAAAAATTATTAATGTTAAAGTTTTCTCTATTACTAGAAGAGAAACACAATGAGAAATAGAAACAATGATAAATTGTTCTTACAGACAAAAGGAGCTGATTAAAAACTAATCAAGATTAATCATGGCACAAGATAAAACAAGACTTTCAAGAGAGTGAATGCATCATTTCACCTGAAAACATAGAAATGTATATGTGAACAAATGGATAGATTGCTAAGTAGCAAAGAAAAACAATTGATCTTAATGCTAATCATCAAAACACTTCAATCAAATTCAGCAATCAGAAAACTTTTCAGACAAAAGACCTGCAGCTTTCTATTTAGATTATGCAAAATACATTACATTATTCTACTTGTGCAAGCTACTGATTATGTTTAAAATATGTGAGCAAGACAGATAGAAAGATAAATAATTACTACGTCACTCAGACACATTGAACGTTGAATTATGCCTTAATTTAAAATTTAAACCCAAATACTACAAGTTAGAGACATGTTAAAAACAATGGTGTCTTTGGCCACAATAAGAACCTCATTTAACTGAAATAAAAACCTATAGATCATCCAGTCCTTAAAACAAATGTATGAGACGATTTTCATACAGACGATGGAATGCATCCTTAAATTAGCTGATGATGTCTCCAAATCACAGCAAATTGCCTTGAGGTTGTAAATACTATGTTTATAGACATATTGGTGTTAAGGTCTTGCAATCTACAAACTAGAATAAATAAAGTAAAAAAAATTAAATAAATTTACACATCAAATAAAACAATGTACCTTTTATTATATACAATTTTCTTAACAAAAGTGTCAAAAACACATTCAAATATATAATGATGGGTCTGTAACAGCTAAAAGAAAAGCAGGGGATCTGCTAACAGAGATAAAGGTAATAGAGTTAATCTTTTTACATGTTTCTGGTTATTAAAGGTGGAATCAACTAACTCACTCTTTGGTTACCTAGCAACTCATTCGTTCTCTGGTTACCTAGCAACAACCTGTGGAGCAACTTAAGGTTCCGCCACTGTTAACAGTTGTTTAACTGCACAGTAACATGGAGAGAAACTGTGGCAGTATTTCAGATATAGTTAGATTGATATGCTGATATCGTGATACGTTTTCCAGCCGTATCGTCCAGCCCTGTAAATCTGCTCAATAAAATAAAACGCTGAGAGCTCAACAGAAAGACTGTTATCAGGTCACGTCTCTCAGACTGTCGGCACAAAGCGCCTTGTGTGTCACTAGTGCCAGGTCCTGCAAAGCGTCACTGAAAACCTGATGGCGACCTGATTGGTGGCGTGCCAACGGCGCTCAGCCAAAACCTGAAGGGCTGGGCTTTCACCAAGCGAGCGAGAAAGAGCCTTCACACAGTTCAATCTACTAAATCTGTATCTGCATTCTTATTTAAAACAAACAAAAAATGTGTATTTGTCAACTACTATTAACCCTGAATAAATTAACATAAAGTACAATGTGTTAATGCAATTTAATTAAAGGGTGAATAAATCATAAACATACCAAATATTAACTGCTGAAATCTTCACCATGCAGCTACTGACATGTGGGAAATGTTAAATGTCATGAAATTCCCAACAGAAAATAAATATATAACATGAAATAAAAATTATAATAATTCTATTACATGTTTAATTTGTTTCGCTTATTTTTCCACTGAATTTGACAGCTGCATAATTTTTAATTATTATAATTGTAACAAATATATAATGCATCAAACTTTTTCATGCTTTTTTGGACGTGCAATAAATATTACTGATAAATCAATAACACCATACATACAACATATAAATAGATATGTTATTTATTTAATTCTCTTGTAAAGCGTCTGAGTCCAAAAAAAGTGCAAAAAATGTATGTATGCATTATTAGTAATATTTTTTTAATTATTCAGCTGTCAAATAAACAAGCTGTAAAATATCAAAACAAATAAAAATTTTAATATTCAAGTACAAAATAAAGAGTTTTGACTCTTTGAACTCCTTGTTCATTTTTTTGCAGTTTTATGACATCAGAAACATTTCCCCTTGAACTCATCCACATCTTATTGTGCAGTACTCCTGCTGCAGAAAGCCCAATCAGCTTTCCTGCAAATGAAATGAGTGTCACAGCGAATCCAAAATAACCCAACGGTAAAGCGAGCGGCCACTAAAGACGGGATAAGTGGATACACACGCTGCATTAATAGCAGCAGACGTGTAATTAGCCCTTTAAGCTATCAAAATAGCTTACATCTCCAAGCCAAGGGCAGTTTACATTTGTAGATAATTGTCGTGTGAATTGTGTTATTGATCCCAAGGAGACAATTAAATGTTTTTGGTCAAATAGAGAGTAGTTTCACTGACTGAGTAGATTTCTTCTCTCATTTTATTTTAGTTGGGATCTATTAACAAGATGCTTAGACGGTAATCTTAAACCCAAATTGTTTTTTTGTTTACTTTTTTTTATAAACCACACTTAAATGTTTTTTTATTTATAATTAAATATGTAAACATCCCCCATTCATGTTTAGTTGACAAAATGCAGAGAGAATTTGTGCATTTTGCAGCAAACGCTGTATCAGATGCCAGGCATGGTGGTGGCAGCATCATGCTGTTGGGCTGTTTTATTGTTTTATAAATTCTGTATTTTCACCTGAAATTAGCAGCTGGACAGTTAAAGCACAAGACACTGACCCAGAACATTCTGGAATAAAGATTCTGGAATAATTCTGATCAAAATTAATGGTAACGCAACTCAAAAAAAAAAAAAAAAGATGAATCAGCCAATCACAGCCAGGACGCGGGGCTTAGCGCCATCAGTCAATCTCATGTATTTGTTCCTAAATGTGCAAATGGCAGAGAAACAATTCATTGTTACAGAAAAGCTGCTTATCCACCATCATTGGTGGCCATGCTAACTAGCCTTAACATTCTCAAAAGGCTATGCTAGCTGTAGCGTAGCAGAGAGCAAGAGGGAGGGTGATTGACAGTGCTAAGACCCGCCTCCTGGTTCTGATTGGTTGTTTCTAGTTAATGCTGGGAGAAGGCAAAGGACTTTGATTTTTTCAGATTGTCTCATACCATACTGTAATGACAGAGTTACATTTCAACAAATATGTAAAAAAATATTCTTTATAAAAGTTACATACAACAAAGTTGCTTTTAGGACCAATTTATACAGTTAACAACAAAAAAATGCTGCTTTCAGGCTTAGTTACTCTCAAAAGACAGAAAAGATCCAGAAAGGCAGAGACTTGACCAATTTTCCCAAATAGAACTGAAACAAGATGTCAACATAAAAGGATGTCAGCCAGAAATAATGCAGTACAGCTACATTATGACACACATCTCCGTGTGTATGGAGGTCTGAATCCCTGCTGGTCCCGGCGACGGGGAGGCAGAAAGCGGGGCAGATGTCAGACACGTGTCAGCTGGAGTGATTGTATGAGAGGATGCGTGCTGCTGGTAGCGGTGGGATAATCGCTCTGAGCTAATGCCTTAAGCAGGGCTGAAACCTAGCGGACCCGGCTGCATTGTGCCAGGGGATGAATTACAAAAAAAAAAAAAAAAATTACTCAAATTTAAACCTTTCCTCTTTTTTTAATGAAATGAAGCGCAGGAAGTATTGTGCATGATCAAAAGCTGTTAAAATGCTTTTCCCAATTAGGAAGGTTTTGAGACGACAAGCTATTGTTGCTATTAGTAGAAAACAGAGTGATGTTCACGTGACGACGGATTAAAGCTGCTGCTCACAAGCTCCCCTGCACGGGAATTATTATGTCACACTCACATCTGTACTGTCTGAAAACAGCAAATGGACAAGAATCGCAGCTTTGATTGCAAACGCTGAACATTTTTCTGGTATTTATGTTGCAAATCATGTTCAATTTATTTTTTGACCAACAGTTTCAATAAACAACATGTAAGGTTTTTTATTTTTCAAACACAGGTTCTGTGTTTATCTGAAAAGTTTTAACTTAAGGTTGAAAAACGTACCACATTATAAGCATTTTATATCAGTTGATATCAATAATTATCAATTAGTTTCTGTTTTAAATATCTGAAATTCTGCCAAACTTTCCTGTTTTATCCAGTTTTCACACTTTTTATTTTTAAGCAGTTCTGAGAAACTTGAAACTGCTGTTGCACCAGTTGCTCAACAGGATGTTGCTAGGTAACAAAGTTTGAGGGGAGGGACTTCAAACTGCTAATTACCCAGCAGGTTGTTGCTAGGTAACCAAGAGTGAGCCAGTTAGTTGATGCCACCAACTTTTCTTAGCAAGCTGAGAGGTTGAGCAGTTATCTACATCTCCCA